GCAGATTGTTTTTAAACTTAGCCAGGACCTCAACAAGGAGCGGGCGAGGTGTAGCTGTTTGTGGCCAGACTCTGATATTTGCCCTGCAGCCTTCCATTCTTGCACCTTATACAGCTGCATTTATTGAACACTGTTTCAGTTTACTGTTTCAGTTTAATTTTCTGCCAAATAAGACACTGTCCTACAGCTGGAGCTTGGACAGCAAAAAGACCTCATTAATTGGGACTGGTGACCAACACTGTGATGAGTTTGGTTGGAGGGACACCACAGCCGCAGGGTTGTGGTTGCTCTCCTCATCTGCCTGCTGGTATTCGCTGGAAGCTGTTGCGTTGTGGTCACTGGGAAGAAGGCGTGTTGTATCACTTGCATGTGATATCATTGTACAAATGTACACTGTACAATAATACCACATGTTGTACATCATATTGTTTCCTGAAGCACTGGTCAGCTCCATGGTCCAGAGGGCTTCACCCCATCCCAATTGCATGTGCAAAATCCTGAGAAAATGCAGCAAAGATTGTCTGAACATGGGTCTGCCTTCACATAGCTTGCTCTGGTTGAGCTGTACAGGATCTGGAGCTTCTGATTCATGGGTTTTCTGAGACTCTGGACACCAAAGCAACACGTGAACTTGGAAGTGACATATAAAACTTTGCTGAGTACTGGTTCAGATTTTGTGTTTCAGTCCAAAGGTACCAGGTGAGTAACAAGCATGTTCCGTGTTTGAGTAGGCTGCTGGTTTCTGCTGGTGTTAAGTGCCACATACTCTTAAGAAGACAAGGCTAAAGACACATACCTTACTGCTGTGCTACCTAATAGGACTGCAGTGGGTGCTCTGCAGGGCAAGCAGTGGTAGTGCAGTGACAGTAGTCAGGCTCTCTCTATACTAGGAGGTTTCCCCACCTTGGCTGGACGTGGGCGGTGTCAAAGCTGTCCCTGCTTTGAGCACCTGCCCCATCCTTCTGCCTTTCAGTGAGGGAGGAGGTTTCCAGCACTGTCCAGCCCCAGTCCAGCCCCAGTGCATAGAGGTGACAGCATCTTCTTCCAGAGGCAGTTCACTAAAGCCATGGCAGCTTGAAATACACCGTGAAATCTCTTTCTTCATCTCTTGGTTCTTGAGATTTTTAAGCTCATGTTTTTCAGTTTCTCTGCACATCACAATGGAAATTTGCAGGGAGCTTACCTTAAAACCAAGCAGACTGGTAAACATGAGTTGATAATCCCTGGAGAAGGTGCTGCAGAATGGACAATGCCATGCTGCAGAATGGAAAATGCTGTTTTGCCTGCAGCAGGGGGTCCATGACCACTATAAATGGTTTTGTAGCCACCCTTGGGGCTCACCCCATAAGCATGGGGGCTCTGCCACTGTCCCATGGTCTCAGGGATCATTCTTCTCCCCACCCCCTGCACCTCTGGGAGTGAAGGAAGGGTTTGACCCTTTTTGGGGCTGTAGCCACCTAAAGCACTCTGGCAGTGTGGAGTCAGGTGGAGCAAGATGTGGGCTGGCTCTGGCAGAAGTGCTTGGTTTGGTGTGTTTGCGTCTCAGCGAATTATTATAAGGACCAGGCCTAACATTTCACATGAAGGAGGGATGTGTCCCACTGCTGCCCTTTCCTTGTGGTGTGGGCAGGCACCATGCACATGTGTGTCCCTGGGTAGCTGATTCGTTGTGTTTTTGTATGGGACGAGGGCAGGCTGTGAGGCACTGCTGTCAGTAAGCGTTGCTGATGGACCTTGGAATATCTGGTGGAAATCATGAGGCATGAACATTCATTCATCTAGCTTAGTTTCACATATGGTTGTACCATTTGACTGCCCAAGTGCTGCAATAGTAGTAGCAGGGCTTGAGACACTTCTCCTTTTCCCCTCCCCTCCCTTGTATTTCTTTTCTCATTTCCCTTCCTGCTCCCCCCCTCCCCCACACCCCCCTTCTTTCTCACTCTTTTTTTTTCCCCTGGAAGGCTGATGGATATGCAGAGTATGTTAAGAAGCAAGCGATACTGTCACCGAGCTGATGATGCTCAGTGACTCCTCAAGCTCCTGGCTGGTCTGTACTGCAGGAGCTTGACACCCTGACCACTGAGGCATAAAAAACAGAGAATTGGAAGACTCAGCCTGACAGGCACCAGAGCGTCCCCCAGAGAGGGTCCACCATGTGTGTCTGTGTGTGAGTGTGGGGAGGAGGGCAGTGGGGATGGTGGGGGAGGAGATCAAGGCAGGAGAGGATGAAACAATGAAATGTCATCCTGTTCCCACCTGCAGCCCTGCCGCAGCACTGATAGAAACAGCTACCTCCTTCTCAGTGGCATGCGTAGCATTAGCACAGGATAGTCTGGATCTGTGCAACCTTGCCTGAATGGAGAGAGGAGCAGGGGGTGTAAAGGGGAGGGGGAATTGTGGGGCAGCAGAAATGAGGCATTGTCCTGACCTCGATGGATATGTGTGTTCTCTCCCTTGGGGCGCAGGCATATGCAGCTCACCATAAGCTTTGTTTGAAGCTTGGGGTGCTTCTATTGCACGGAGATGCTGGACGGACTTCTCTGCACACCCTGTGCAAGCAGTCTACGGAGTGGATTGGGCTCTGTCCTGCTGTCCTGACTGCCCTTTTCCTCTGCCTGTTCACTGTGCAGCTCCAGGAGTGGACGTGGCAGAGGCTTGCTCTCATCAGTGTTCGCGTGTCATGTTGGTCAGGCAGCGCAAATGTTCTGTGCAACTAAAACAGGAGTAGATTTCTGCACTTGTCCCTGCCCTATAGGAAGGAAGAAATGAAACCAGTGGGGAAAGGGGTATGCAAGCTCCTCCCCATACAAGAGACACCCACAGGATGAAGGGATTTGTGTGTGATGTACACAGGATGGAGGAACTGGGTATGAACTTCTAAGAACTGAGAAAAGATTGCAGCACTTACCCATGAAGTTACCAGCCAGTTTGCTGCCCAAGTCTGCCCACTTGCCTTGCAGTCTTGGGCAAACAGTTGTTTGCTGGAAACTGAGGGGCTTTGGGAATGGGGCAAGCAGGGAGGGCTCTGACTGAGCAGGAAGCCTCAGGTGCGGCAGTAAGGAAGCAGAAGAGACCAGAGAGGAGCTGCTGTGTCCTGCACAAGGGAGCTTGCTCCCTCACTGATGGAAGGCAATGGAAATTCCTTTGCCAGTGGCCCTGGAACCTCAGGTGGCTCCATGACACCCATTCTGACTTTGCTGTCTCACTCTTTTAGAGTGAGCACTGTGACAGATGTAACCTGCAGATGCTAAAGTCATCTATCATCCATAAGTACAGGGAGTAGAAGGAAATGTAGATACAATGTACTTCACTGGGAAGAAAGGTTTGGAGGCCCATTTTCTGTGGCTTATGGTGAATTAGTGCCATTCCTTAGAGGCAGTAATGGATCTACTCTGAGCTTGTGGTGAAATGTGGTCAACAAAGCAAGGCATGCTGAACATGCTGCACTTGCTTTCGCTGGCTTCAGACCTTGTCTCACTGCCCTGGACTGTTCATAGATGCTGGTCAGGATGGAGAGAGCCTGTTGAGCCTGGTGAGTGCAGTCCTATGGGTCTGAAGGGCTATGAGAAACAGGGAAAGGTGTTAGTAGAGACCCCCTGGGGTAGAACAGTGATGGGCAGCTCTTGTTGTTGGCACATTCAGTGTATCTACTGGCATCCTTTGGTGTAGGCTGAGAGGCAGTTTGTTTTTTACCAAAGCAGCATCATGTGGAGATCGAGCTACCCTGGATCTGACCCTCTATTTTGACACCAACCTGTGCTACTTCTGTATTGGCAGAAAATACCTTTGCAGGTGGCTGCAGTGACTGCCAGTACTGCATGGCTATTGCAGCCCACCATGCTGCTGAGCCGAGAGCTCCCCCTGACAGGCAGCACAACTCCACCAGTCACCAGAGCATCATCCCCTCTCCCCTGGGTCAGCAACTAGCCTAAACTGTGTCCTGAACCGAAGAGACCACTCATGGCCCTGGGGACCCCAACATGGTCCCCAGGGAGGGTATGGGGGTCTTACCAGGCCCATGTGCTGAGCCTGGGGAGCTGGAGATGTGGTATCCCAGCGTCTGCCACTCAGCTGGGGAAGGCAGCCCCTGGGAAGCAAGCATCTTCCACTGCACTCGGGCAGCCCTCTCACCTACTCTTTCTCCTGCCGTGCTGTGTTGTGAGTGCATGTATTTGTGTATGGGAGAGTGAGGAGAAGAGGAAGAAAGGAGGAGAGCAGAAAACTGTCATTTGTGGAAAATTTCCTAATAAATCAGCAATTGTTACCATTTGCATGGTGGTGGAACTGGGTACCCTGCCCGGGGTCAGAGCCTCATGGTGCAAGGCTGTGTTGTGGAGAGTTTGCAGCTGAAGTATGAAACAGGAAGTGATGTGAAAGAGAACAGACAGATGGGGGGGAGCAGGAGCTGGTGAGGAGATAAATAGCTGGAACTCTCTGAGCCTTAATTGTGCCTTTGTCTGGAGGGTTTCAAAATCTGAAACTCATGCAAGGATTCCTCTCCTTGGGCTGCAGTGATGCATAGATGTCTGGGACCAAGACATGTTCTCCTGGAGAGCCTGGATGAGTACCAAGTATCTAGAGGATTATCTGGATTATCGTCTCTTGCCAGCAGAGTCTGAGCACTCCTGTCTTTGTGTTGTGTTTCTGACTCCAAGTGCTATAGGGCTGTAGGAGGTAGGGGCCAGCCCTGTCCGTGTACCCCAGGGTCCTTTTCAGCTCTCCTCACTGTCTTGCTCCTGAAGCAGGCATTACTTGAGAAAATCCCACCAGCTCAGCAGGCCTGGGCTACAGCACGAGAAGGATGTGCAAAAGATGGCTGTACCCATTTATTTAATAATTCTCCTACTTATATTGTCCTTCCTGAAAGAGGGTGGCCAGGAGTAATTTTACAAAGGCTGTCACTGGGGTGCAGCATGCAGTGCAGCGTTCCTATCCCCCACTACAGTAACTGTGGTTTAAAATCAAATCATCTTTTGTTTGTCTTTTTCTCTTTAACACAGGGAGTGAGTTTTCTGGGAGCCCATACAGCCACCCACAATATTCAACATACAATGACTCCTGGCGGTTTCCCAACCCTGGACTCCTGGGTAAGTGCCGCTCCTGCCTTGGGGGCTCTGTTCAAGCTGTGACTCATTTGCAGCCTGGCAGTGATTGTCCACCCATAAGGTGGGCAGCATGTGTGTCCTGACATGGTCCTGAGTCTATACGCTCAGCTCCCATGAGGGAATGCCAGTCTCCAGGGAAGCACAAATACTCTTGGTTCCTTTTGCCAGCAAGAAGCCCCTGCCCAAACCTCTTGTCTTCCTGGTTTTGCCATGTAAAATCCTTTCTGAGGCACAGGGTGTTGCAGGAAGACAGGATCTCCATTTTTTTGAGGGTAAGGGATCCTGTTCAAAAAAAACATGGGGTGCCAGGTGTTTACAGCTGAATGTGAGCCTCATTGCTCCCCACACTGTTTCTTGCGTGTTGAAGCACTTTGCATTTTCTCCCTGACTTTGCACTGCATTTGCTCCCCAGTTTTGTGTTTGCCCTATCCATCCCTCCTCTGCCAGGGACTGCTGTGCCTGCGCAGCCTCACTGGCACTAGCATGGTCCCTACAAGCAGAGGGAGGCAGGAGCCCCGTGGTGCATGCAAGGATCGTAGCCCTCATGTGAAAGATAAACATAATCCATTTTACACCACTGTCAAATGCTGGCCCACTTTGACCTTATATACGTGTAGCATGCAGTAATTAGAATTTTTCCCTGCATAATTTGCATGGATGAGGTAAGTAAAATACCAATTAATTGTCATCTCTCAACACAGGAGTAGCGTGCCTTGGAGATTTACAGATTTATGGATGACAGGGCTGTTATATGTGACCTCCAGCAGCGAAATAATTTTGAATTTTTGCCATACTTTTTTCATCCAGTTTCTTTGTTTTAAGTAATTGAGTCCCCATGTAATTGAACCACCCAGGCTGTATTCATCATGGTTCTTGTCCTTAAACAAATCCTTGGGGAGTAATAGACAGTCTCTGCCTCTCATACCATGGTGTTGGTATAATGCTGCTATTTGCTGTGCCACATTTAAGGGTTTGTTAGCATTTCCATCATAAATCAGCAGATAGATCTCCAGATAATATGGATGGGCATAGCTGTGCAAAGCCAGAGGAGTCCCTGTGCTTAAATGCACAGTTTCCATGGCCACAGCCAGCAGCGCCTGTGAGATTTTGGCTTGGATGTGTGGGGAAGATGCTTTAGCTGGGGGAAGAGTGCACACTGTGCTTTCTTAATTTCTGATTTTGCAACTCCTTTGGAAGCTGCCTAAGCAGCACTCTGCTGCATGGACAGGCCTGGGAAGCCAGGCTTCGGATGACTTTTTAGATTTTGCTTGCAAACCGCTAAAGAAACTGGAATGATATGAAAAACAAATAAAAACCCAGACCCAACCCTGCCCATGGGGAGAGGGCTTTTGTTGAAGCTCCTGAGCTGCAGACCATGCTCCTGCCTGTGGGTGCACACGTCCACAGGGAAGGATGTGCTCACTGAAGCTGTACCAGAGCCAACCAGCCTGGGCCATCCTGGAGCTCCTGGAGCAATGGTCTTGGAGAGTGTGATGGCCAGGATGCAGGTCAGGGTACAACCCCATGGTGCCCTGAAGCCAGTGAAGACAGGTCAGGAGAAGACTGTAAAACAGAGGCTGATCAGGAGCCAGCCTCCTGCTGCCAGGACACCTTTTACCTGTTTCATTCCCTTTATTCCCTATTCTTCCTCTGTTTTTAACCCCTTTCCTATTCTTCTTGGGTGGTACATTTGGGGGGCAAATTCCTTCTCACTTTCGACTGTGTGAGAGGCATGCGATATGAGCACAGCTGAAAGGGTGGGTGTGCTCCCACAGGCAAGGCTGGTGTCTCAGGCTGGAGAGGATTTCCACAGCAGTATTTACTCAGCAGCATGCTGTGAACATATATTTAAATGAGACAAGGGCAAAAAGATTTGGATGCTACCATTTGCCTTCAGAAACTGCAGCTTTATTGAAATTGAAATGTTTCATAGGTTAATGACAACAATGCTCGCATTTTTTGCTTGTGGGTGTTGATAAAATGTATAATCTTGGCTTCCTTGTGTTCATCCTCTTCAAAATACTTTGTTTTGATATTTTCAAAATCTTACATTTCAATAAACAGAGACTCTGTTACTGTGCAGGTAACATTGTATTGCTTTGTGTGTGCAATGACAGGCTGATCTGGAGTTACTAGACTGGAAGTTTTGACGCATTGAACAGGAAAATAAATGGGTATTTTTGTTCTGCAGCAAGTCCTAAGGATGAACTTACCATTGCAGTTTAGTGTGGTCACAAAACTGGGAGTGCTGGAGTTCATGGAAGAGAAATCCCTTTGTCTGACCGCTGATAGTTTTGTAATACATGTTCTGCTCTGTTCCTGTCATTGCTGGGCTGGTTGAGAGCTGGTGTGGCCTGTGCCTCCCTATGTTGCTTGAATTGCCTCATGGGCATCCTGTAAGAGCTGGGCAGTGAGGTCTTGGTGGGCAGAACCTTGGAATTCCATTTCATTTCAAGCCTGTCAAGAGCAAAATGGTGATTGATTTGGAAATACATTTGTTAGGAGTCCACATCATACCCCACAGGGCATTGCAAAGGTCTGTGACCTGCCACCTCGGTGGGGAAGTGCAGTCTGCTTGATCATGGTACACAGTGGTGGGGGGCAAAGCTTCTCAGCTGGTGCTTCAAGAGACACTGCATTGTACCGAGTATAACTGTAAGACCCGAGTGCGCATGTCCCATTGTGTGGCCTTAAACTGCAGGTGGGACACATCTCTTGTGCCCTGCAGGGATCCTGCTTATCCATAGCTCTGCCTTTGTCCCAGGAGCCTAATCCTGCACTCCCTTCTCCCTGGGTGCCCCCAGTCCCATTCAGAGCAAGTAGGAATCTGTAGCAGAGTCTCAAAAACCTGCTCCAAGTATCCTTGCACACCCAGAAAGTGCAGGTTGACAAGCCTGAGCACCTGCAGTGGAGAGGAGGTTAATTTACACTATATCCAGCATGCTTCCACTCTTCTCAGGAGTATACGTGAGTACGTTTAACAATTCTCTCTTGAGAGCATGCTCTGGCAGTATCAGCCTTAAAGCACAAACCTTGACAAAATTAATCAGGACTGGTACATGGACTGACAGAGTTTGTTTTACTAAGCCCCACTCCCTTCACTGAGATGAAAGTGTAATACTGTAAGCACTTAACAGCGCCTATATTCAATTAATTCCCTGTACTGGCAAGGAAGAATTGCAGCACAGCAATCACACGAGGCTGAGACCTGTGAAAGAGGAGCTAAAATGGGAGATGCCACGATTTGCAAGTGTCAGGAAGAAAGGATACTTGGGCAAAAAATGAGTTTTTGAGGGAATAAAAAGAAAGCAACAGAGATGAGAAAGGTGGAAAAGCTTTGCTCATTAGTCCCCAGTCTTTGTCCCATGAGTGCGCAGAAGCTGTGAGAGGCATGAGACAGTGTTTCCACAGCACCATGCTCTTGGTGTGGAAGTGATGTGGAGCGACTGCCAGGCCCCAGCAGAGCACTGACTGCCCTCTGTTGCCCATGCCTGGCTCTGCCCTTGCTGTGATGTTCCCCACTCCTTTGCCCCAGTCGGAACACTTGCATCTGCCCCAGCTGGCATGGGAGCTGATGCAAATAGGTGACAGTGCTCCCTCCTCGCCGGGACAGTCCTGAATGCTGTGCCCTGTAGTTCTTGTGGAAGGTGAGACAATCAAGCTATAGTCCTCCGGAGTGGGCAGCAGAAGCTGGGCAGAATTACAGAATCATAGAATGGTTTGGATGGGAAGGGACCTTAAAGTTCATTCAGTTCCAACCCCTGCAATGGGCAGGAACACCTTCCACTAGACCAGGTTGCTCCAAGTCCTTGAACACTGCCAGGGATGGGGCAGCCACAGCTTCTCTGCGCAACCTGTGCCAGGGCCTCAGCACCTTCACAGGGCAGAACTTCTGCCCAAGAGCTCCTCTCAATTTCCCCTCTGTCAGATTAAAGCCTGTCCTGTCCCTACAGGACCTTGTAAAAAGTCCTTCTCCAGCTTTTTTGTCCCTTTAGGGACTGGAGCTGCTCTATGGTCTCCCTGGAGCCTTCTATTCTCCAGGCTGAGCAAGAAATTGAACAAAAAGAACAAGAAAAAGTAGGTTGTCTGCTGGAGGTCTGCCATGTCTTCCTGCTCTCCTGTTTGGTTTTTCAGTCCCAATGGCTACTACACACAGCTCTGTAGCAGGGGCACAACAGCCTCAGTGCCACTGACTGCAGCTGGACTGAGGACAGAACCCAAGTTTCCAAGGCAGTGTGCTGGGAAAAGGACACAAACCCTGGCTCCCTGTGTGTCATCTGATTCGGTGGCTGCAGCTGATGTCCTCATCTCAAAGCCAGAAGAGGTGGACAAAGGGGGATCTTTTTCCTTTTTTTTATGTTTTCTTTCCCATGGTGAAAGGTCTTCAAGTGGTACAGTACATGAATACACATGCAGTTGCATGCACAAAGGCATGGGAAACAAGCACATGTGCACATGGGGGCTTAGTCCATCACAGTCAGCATGTCCTGGCACACGCCGTCAAAGTCAGCGCAACACATGCCCACTAAGATAACAGATGAAGAAAAACGATGCAATTTTGTGATGGCTTGTTGCAATTACTTCTTCACCATTTTTGCTTGTTGCATTCAGTTTGATGCTGCTCATGGTGGGTTTCTTATCCCTGCAAGCTGAATGAGAGGGTTTGCCTGTGCCATCCCAGTGCCAGCATGGCATTGTGCAAGGGCAGAGCTCGAAGCTGGTCGATTAGGGTTAGGTTCAGTTCTTCTGTGGAAAGATGACAGAATAAGTAGGTACCAGAAATGACCATGTCAAGAAATAAATTGATGGTAGTATGAATTAGAAAGGAAAAATGACAGAAAGACAAATCAGGCCTGTTCTATATGGGGGCATAGTGACAGGAAGAGTGAATGCTTTGTGATGTGATGTTTTCATTTTTCACTTTAAATACAAGCTTCTGTGATTTTACTGCTGAAAGGCAAACTGGAAAAATCAAACTTGAGAGACGTGGAAGACCTTTGGAAAGCATGAGAGAAATATTGGTCTTTGGCACTGAGTCAGAACAGCAGTGGAGGAAGAGGGAGAGGGAAAGCCTAACCCCCAAAAGATCCCTTTTACCACAAAACCTTAGCAACTGCTGCATTTAGCTCTGGTGGGACCCACACATTGCACTGCATCAGGCTGAAAATTTTGGTGCCACTGGATCCCTTCCCTGGATTTTCTACCCCTCTGCCTAAGCTGACCTGCCGTGGCCTGTGCCAGGGCTGGTATGGGCTTGGGTGTCTGCTGAGTGTCTCCCTCTGCTCCCCATCAACCTCCTCATGCTGTGGTGGGTGAGGACAGCTAACCTTTCATGGGCCTGCAAAGTGTTACACCCCAAAGTACTGTCTGCCTTGCAGTGCAAATTGATTCCTAAAGACTCACACGCAGCAGGAGTGGCTGTTAAGGGGCATGAAGTGACAAACTGGGCTCCCCAGAACGTGCAGCCCCAAGTTCTGATGCAGAAGCCATGTTCCTGTAGCCAAACCCCCTAATTTCTGACCCATCCAGGTTGCAGCAGCAGAGTATTACATGCAGGTAGGACTCTGATCATGAGAAGGAAGTTTGTTCCCCATGGCTGTGCCAAGAAATGCATTGCACATGGGTGTGCCAAGGAGTGGGAGAGCACATGTTGACTGAGCATTGTTTTTCAGGTGCACTGGGCTTGTGCTCCCTTGGAAACGAACTGTAGGACACTGGTGATGAAGCCTGAGCTGATTTCTTGAAATGGCACTGAGGACAAAAGCAACTTAGAAGCAGCAGGTGGGCTTGCCTGCGAGATGGATCCTAGTGGGTCCACAGCAGCGAGGCAGGGTGGAAGAGCCCATCCTTTCAGGAGATGTTTCAGTTGATGGGGCTGTCTCCTTGGGGTGTTCTCTCAGGCATCATGGCTTTATTTCACCAGCCCTGGAAACTGCTCCAGGCAGCGTGTCTGGGGGGGAAGGTGAAGAAAGCCCTACATGTTGCAGTTACACCATCACCCAGAGCCAGTGGTTAAAAGTAAATGTCCATGGGCTTCCTCTTGGAGACTGGGTGTACAATTTTCACTCTGTTGCTTGGGCTTTTGAACTGGCAGCCCTTGAGTAATCACTCAGGTAGTTTTGGGGTGAACAGCAAAGCCTTCAGTTGGAGTCCGTGCATGAGGAGGGATGGCCAGGAGGTTCTTCAGCCTCCCACACATAGGCTCCTTCACTCAGTGGAGAGCAGGCAACAGGTGACACGGGGCATGCCAGCTGGGTTCTTGTTCCTGCTCCAAAGTCTGTGCCGGGGCCATGGTGGTGGAACAGCCAGGACACTGTCACACTCAGCCAGCGGCCAGGTGCAGGGCAGCCATTGGACCTGCCAGAACAGGGTTTGCTATAGTCTGAGATGGGAAGCAAATGGCTGAAAATGCACCTTTGGCTGCACTGCCACCCATGATTTGCTGAGGGGCCCACATGCCCTACTGAGGTCTAATGGCATCACCTTCTCCTGGAGGGCCAGCTCCTCTGCCTCCATGGAGTTGCAGAAATTACCCCCTCTGTGACAAGTCATGTCCCTGGCTGGGAAAACCCTCAACTATGTCTGCCAGACTGCTGTTCCAAGTGAGATGAAGGCAGGGAGTTCAGGACGGCTGGTGGCTCTTGGATGAGCTTATTTGTAAAACCAGACCCTACAGCCCGGTCTTTCCCAGAGCTGTTCCTTGCCCTGGCTCCTTGTTGCTCACCCAAACATGTCTGGGGGTGTCAGACTCACATGTCCAAGTGCAGGTCTTTCCAGGGGGCTTCTTCCATGCTTTCCATCTCACACATGTGAGATTGCTGGTGACTTGGAGACCCGACTGGTAGTACCTTCAAAATTTTTTTTACACAACTCTTTTCTCACACTGAATCGGAGTTCATTTCCTTGCAACTGCACTGTGAAGGTTTTTAGTAGCTAGTGGTATCTGGACAGATAGGTATCTCTCTGTGTACATCTGAAGTCAAAGATTCTTCTTCATTCAAGCAAATGTCCAGGTTCCAAGTCATCCCTTGGTGATCACCCAATCTACTCATACGTAGCCCTGCATGACAGAAAAGGGTCACTGATATTTTTCAGGCCTCTTCATAGTAAATGAGTGCTTCAGCATTTACCAATCTGTGAAGCTTTAAGCTTAGCCCATATAGTTCATTCAAATGCGTAACACATGTATTCAATGAAGAAACAGCACAAATTTGATCGGTTAGAGGTTTAAGTGTCCATTTAAACAGCTGTGATCTGGAGCATCAGATACTTCACCAGATGAGGCATTATTCACTGGAGGCAGTTTGTGAATCACTTTCTGAGCTTGGATTCATTACTGAGTGAAATTCACCAATATTTTCTAAAGACAATTTCAGCTCATCAAGTGTACTGGATGCTGAAGGGCTTTCCCTGGCAAGGCAGAGGCTTGTACAATAGGGTGGTCCCAAAGCAGATCTAGTAGCACAAGCTCCAAGGTCACTGTCAAAGCTGAGTAGAATTTGGGGAGCTATTCCCTGATAGAAATAGCTTGAGAAAAAGGGGAAATACTGTTGATTCCAATGAAATGTGTTGAATGTTTTGGGGTTCAACCTCCTACTTATTCCAAAAGGAGGGGGGAAAAATGAGAGAAGTCTGAGTGTGGTGATGTGTTTTGGATGGATTTTTTTCTCCTTCCATTCTGAAAAATTAATTCACTGCTTTGGTGAAGTGAATGAAAGTAACATTTTGAGTGGAGAAATGAAGCAGGTATGCTACAGCCAACAGAGATGCAAAGCAATAGTAGCGCCGTTGTCATGCAGAATGCACTAATGTGATTCTTATACTAATTACCTGGCCCTTATTGCTGTGGGTCTGAACTCAGGCTGGAGAGCTCTCTGCCGCCTGTGTCAGAACGCTGTAAGCTGGTACCTTTCCACTTCTGTCTTCTTTATGGTCGTCTTGTCTCTTCCAGGCTCCCCGTACTACTACAGCGCTGCAGCCCGTGGGGCAGCCCCACCAGCAGCTGCTGCAGCCTATGACCGCCACTGACGCTGAGCCTGGGGCACCAGTACTGACTGCATGCACCACCCGGGACCACCACGATGACCACCTTGCTGCAGCTGGCTGCAGCTGTGCCAGCCATGCTGCAGAGGAGGGAGAAAGTACTTTATAGGCACATGCTAATTGAAATTTTGCTCTTTAAACTTGGTAAACTGATCATTGTTACATTACTTAAGATGATCATGTTGTCTGGGTCTCAAATCAAACAAAGAAATGGGAGGAAGTGGTTCTCCTGACACCCTGTATGATCAGAAATGTGCAGTGGCTTCATGTCTTTTGCAGCTGGATGGCTACTGCTTTCATAGCCTGTGGGTGCCATGGCTGTATCTGGGGATAAGGAAGAGGTGTGAGCACCTCCCTTTGGGGAGGCTTCCTCTTGCTGCACACTTGAAACAGGCTGTGAGACTCAAGGCAATTTTATTTTATTTTTCTCTTTTTTTTTACTTGCTTGCAAAGAAAAAGACCGGTCAGCTTAATTTTACACAAGCACCACTGTAAATACCTGCTTGTCTGTATTACTATAAGAATGGCTTAAGCATAAGCAGCAACATTGTACAAATATGAACTCAAAATGCATCTGAAAATGTGTTTTGAAACTGGTGCACTGATTCAAAGAATTCAGTAAGCTTTAAGCAACTTTGAACCAGGTTAACACTCATGGTGGCTGTATTTCGGGCCAATGTTATTTCAGTATGCAGCATCCTATCTGATAGTTGTATGTGATCATGCTGTATGCTGGTATCAAACACATGGGCAACTGAAAGACCTGAGCAGTTTTGTGACACTTTACTGCTTAATATTAATTTATGTTCATTTGTCATCATAACAAGCACTGAAACAAATTCATCACTGGTTTCAAGTAAAGTGGTGTCCATGAAGGAATTCCTGAGTAATAGTTGACACCTTATGTACAACTCAATAGGTTGTGTGCTAAAACCCAATTATGAATGCCCTGAGAGGAAGGGGAAGGAATACCATGGTAATGATTTTTGTTAAATGGACATACTGAGTGTGGCACATCAAGCACAGGAGCAACCATACATGATTTCAGAGGCAAACTGGAGGGAAAGGTGCTCCTTTGGGAGTCTGTGCATTTCAGTGAAGGCATTTCAAATTTAAGCTGCCCTACCCCAGACATGCGCCAGGGGAAATTTTACCCTGTTTATTCATTGTTTCTTCCCTCCCCCTTGGAGACGGACCACTAAATGTGACATGGCCTTCAATGTGTGGCTTCCTGTGACTAATGAAGGGAGAAGAGTGGCTACAAATGACCCACTAAGCAGCTGCACCAATCACTACCACTTCACAGAGCCAGGAGAACTGCTGATTTCTCCCTGCAGCATCCCCCTGCCCCAGTCTGAGGGGCGGCCAGTCTCAGCCTGGATGTATGGATGCCAGGCATGACCTCATCCCCTCCCCCTGAGGGCAGTGGAGAAACTCTGTCTCCTGTGGGTCCTGTTGGTGCTTGCCTGTGTGTGCCCCAAGGCTGAAGAAGGATTGGTGGTGTTGAACCTGAAATGCTTTCCTCTGGATGAACATTGAAGTACAAATACTTGCTTCTGGCAGTGCAAGCATTTATCTGGAATGGTATCGCCTGAATCAAAACTCTTCTCTCTCCTCCCTCTCCAACTTATGGTTTGTGCTGCATGTTTGATATCCTTAGTAGCCAATGGCCCACTGAGAATCTCCCTCTCTGACTGCAGTGGCGTCTTCTCACACCATGGAAATGCAGCCATCTCTTCCAAGTTTCCAGGGCAGGTGTGTTTAGATCTTCAAAAGCCATGGGGACACCCAGGTCCCACTGGCTCAGTGACATGTCAGTGAGATGTTCACGGAGCCCATCAGGAATTTTGGCCACAGTCCTTCAAACTGTGCCCCTAACTGAGAAGTAATTTTTGTAACAAGCTTACCAATGAGGAAAGCTCTGATTTTAATCTTTCAGCAATTAATAGCTGATACACACCTAGTTTTAACTGATGACAACAGCATGGACAATTTACACAGGGAACCTTCTGAAGCATTGCTTCGGTGTTGCTTTCTGAGCACCCCATGATTGCTTGCACACTGGCAACAAAGCTGTAAAGGACATTTCTGTCACTCACTGGATGCTGGTCACATGGGGATTCCACATGAGCTCCTGGCTGACGGGTGCATGTTGTCTGCACCCTGAACACACACACACACGCACACACACACACAATCTCTATGAGCTCAGGAAGGGATAAGGCCGTCCAGAGCCTTGGCTGAAAAGAAAAGAAACAAAGGTTTAACTGCAGGCAGTGAGGGAGCAGGTGATGGCTCTGTAGCCAACTGGGCTGAACTATTCCAGCTATGGAGGGAGACATCACCGCTTGGTGCCTGGACTGGGATAAAATGACTGTCTGCCCAGTGAGAGAACAGCAGGTCCTATCATCAGTGTGTGAGTCCTTACCCACTGGGTGAACTGCCCTGCAAACATGTTTCTTTTATTTGTTTCCTCAGTGGCATGGCTTGTGTGGCATGCACTACTTGAGATAACACTGAGAAGACAAAACGCAAAACTTCAGCAGATATATTGGCATCCTCAGGCCAGCAGTGCTTGTACTTAGGCAGGGGACTTAGGAAAGGCACAGCAGGTGTAGTTGCTCTGCAAGGTGGATGGGTGCCGTTGGATGATGTGTCCCGAGGCGCTCAGGCCTAGCTGGCCCTACGACTTTCATCAGGACTCTTTCAGGCAGATCCACCAGTGCTGTCCCACTAGCCAGGTGTACAGGCTGCACCATGGGCAGCGTGCACATCCTGGTCAGAGCTGCAGAAGGGAAACCTCAAACTCCTACCCTTGTATGTGCAAGGCAGGCAGCTGCGCCTGGCCAGCTTCCATGGCAGCCACAGCTTGTTTATACCTGCTGGGACTGCTTCCCAGTCAGAATGGGCAGTGAGAGCTGGCCCCTTGAGTATGTATGCTGTACTTCTGGAAAAGACGCTTCTTGACAGTACTTTCTGTTTTTTGAGAATATTTCACCTGGAGTTTGCAAACTGCTTTCCTCAGGAGGTCTGGACTTTCTGTTTATAATCTTCACTGAGGGAATTCTCCTCCTTGGGGAGCATTTTTAAAGGTGTTGCTGGCAGCAGGTGGTTGTCTGGGGATGACACAGTGGCCTGCTGCTGTCCTCTCTCTGCAGCCCCTCCATTTTGTGGGAGGTCACCGAGTGAGGGGGAAGGAAATGACCCTTTGGGGCTACAAGGAGAGAAGAGAGCAAGACCAACATGGAGCTTTGGGGTGTCCTGCCCACCCTTTGTTCAGGTGAGATGCCCTTTAGTGCATTATATCATTACTAGACCCTTGCAGGTATCAGCCCCATGAAGTGCTTAAGTCAGTTACAGCAGTAAACTCTGTAATGTAATGTAGCACTCAGCTAGATGGAGGGTTTTCCAGTAGTGCGTGCTTCAGCAATGAATCTATCAAGTACGTTGCTGACACGGACAGGCTGAGAAATGAAATCTCAGAGATGGAGGGGGAAGACTCTGCCCTAAGACTGAACAAATGGAGGCTGTGAGGCAGGATTACATGAACTGACTTGTTGAGGAAACCCTCAGTCAAACTCTGTGAGAGTGAGTGACCATAAAGAAGACATAAAAGACTCTGGGTATTGAGTTTGCTTAGCATCTGTCTCCAAAGGTGCAGCTACAGAGGCATTATCATTAGGCAGCTCCACTGACTGCAGAGTTCTGGATGTCTCAAGACCAGATCCACAGAAAGCTTTCTTTATTTGCTGTCAAATCATAAAAACGCTCTGGGCTCTGGGAATATGGGGCCAGAGGATGCATGTTCATTCAGAGACACAAAGGTGTCCAAGCAGTGCTCCGATCCATGCAGGGACTGCAGGCATTGGGGCAGCATTGGTACTTGAGGCACTTGGGAAGGAGACAGCGAGGGAAGAAATGGCGCCAGGTAGGAAAAAAAAGAAAAAGGAGAAAGAGAAGCAGGCTGAGAAGTGATTTTCGGAAGAAAGCCTTTCTGTCCAGGGAGGGATGGCTCATGGAGCTCACAACAGTGGAATGCTGGGGCACCCTGTGGCCAATTCCTTTCAGTCCTGTGGCAGCACTGTGGGCTCACTGTGCTGGCTGATGGCAGTCACTGGCAGTTGGTAAATGCTGTGCTGTGCCTGGTCTTAATTGATGAAGTTGTGTTCCTTTCTTATTTTCTTTACTTTTCCTATTCTACACGTCCTTCAGCATGGAGGAGAGAGGAAGTGGTGTTACAGTGTTGCTTATTTCCAACCACAAGTACTAAAGCTTCAAAGAGTTGTGGCCCATAGCAGAATGAACTTCTATGGCTGCCACTGTTGCTGTGACCGAATGTCTTCCCCAGTGCTGTGCTTTTTCCTGCATGCATGTGCCTGTGTGTGTGCCACAAGGACATGGGAGGCCACAGCCACAACAGGTAGCATGGTATTAAGCTGACCCATGCTGTGACTCTGTCCCAGCAGATGTTGGTAAAAGCCTTTTTTCCTTCTGGATTCACTGAGAAAATGATGTGAGGGCTAGCAGCTCTTGCGTAGTGTGCCCTTCAGCATCCCACCAGAGCATGCAGGCAATGGTCCTGTATGGGCATAATCAGCCAGAGCCAGTTGGGCGCCTTGTACCTGTGCAGGGTCTGGGCACATGTCCCAGGCCATGGCTACCACAGCTTTGTGCCAGAGACAGAGTGCTCAGTTGAGTCACAAGGCTGGGGCTATCAGCTGGGGACCCCTGTTGTGTCCCTTAGACTGAAACCCACACCTGTCATGGGTACACTTTGCCACAGCACAAGACACAAGAAGATCCCAAAAGATCCCAAACCAGTTAGTGATGCTTTTCTGGTGGAGCTAATGAGACTTGACATGCAAACACTGAGTGAAAAGTGCATCAGAAAGGTGCCTGGTGCCAGGGCTGCTCACCTCTGTGTAGGTGTCAGCTCCACTGTGACCTCCACTTACTAGTCCTGTTGGAGGGCTTGCACAGCAGAGCAGCTCCAGGGCAAGAACCAGGCCCAAGAGGCTTTGCAGGACCCCACCGCAGCACTGCAGTGCAGGTGGGCACGTGTGTAGATAATGCTGTGCACACGCATATGTATGTGTGGCCACGCTTGAGTCTCTCAGACCCTTGTGGGGAGCATGACGGGGTGGACCTGAGTCCTGCAGTAGCCCTGGCCACCAGCTGGCTAGACCTGTGTCCAGGGGCTCCTGCTCTGCAGTTAGACCTGCCTTCTGCTTCTCTCAGCCTCCTGTGGGAAGGATCCTTGTTCTGTTTTTTCACTGTCTAGTGGCCTTTGTAAATTCTGAAATTACAGAAACTCATTTCATTGCAAATGGAATTCCTTTCCAAGAAAAAAAAGTAAAGAAAGAACAGGCTTGGTTTTTTTGTTTGTTTGTTTTTTTTTTTTGTTTTTTTTTTTATAGAAACAAACTACTTGGTATTAGGGACTTCTAGCATCTAGTATCCACCAAAGTCTGCAATGCCTGCATTGAAGCTTACTTCTTTAAAAAGGAGAGGAAAAAGAAAAGAGAGGGAGAGAAATAAAAGCCTCCTCCCCTTGAAAAATGCATACATAAAAAAAGAATACTCGTAAAAATAACTGTTGAATTGCCTTTGAAAGTAGGGGATAACATCTGTTGCCAAACAGATGAAAATGCTTCTTAAAATGTGTATGTTTTGTATTCTTTTTTTCTAGTAGGAAAAGAACAGACTTGAAATCTTGGTGTTTTTTCCTTAGTGCTGTGTGTTGCTTTTGTGTGTTATAATATTTGAATGTAATTACAGCAGTGCCAATTTGCCAAAGATGTCAAACATTATTTTGGGGATTTTGTTCTGGGTTTTGGTTTTGGGAGCAAAAAGGGAGGTGGGCTGGGGAGCAGGGATGATAAGGCATGGGTCAAAAGGGGAGGGAAGGCATTTGAAGATTTATTTTCTTTATTGGTTTGGTTTTTTTTTTCTCAACTCTTTCTTGTCAATACTGAAATTTGTGATTTTATTCTAAGTTAAATGGTTGATTGCAACATTTTTATTTTTAGATTAGTTGAAGAAACATGCAATAAGATTGGCGTAGTTCAATATCTGTGTGTCTTTTCATGAGAGTGACTGTTACTTGTGGACATTTGGTTTTATGTAACCTTTATGTGAGATAATTATTTGTAAATATTTACCATAATTTTATTTGTTCCTAAAATAAAAGTAATTTTTTTTAAGTTCAAGACGCCTGATTTCACTGTTGTTTTCATCCTGTATCCTGGACCCTGAGTCACCATGCAAATGGTAAGGTTTGTGCTAGTAAGGCTTGTCCAGGTCCTCAGATGTTCTCAGTCCTGCAGGCGGGCTGATGTCCTGATGAAGCAGAGACAACTTCTATGCTAGCCTCATATGCAAACTGGAATGGTTTGGTAGCTGCAGGATTAATCTTGCTAACTACTATACTATAAAACCCCTCATTAAAACAAGCTATATCTAATGACTGATGAATTATGTATTCTCGATGAGTTACATGCAAATGCATCTACATTTGGATGCAAAGGCATATGTGGGGGCTTCTTTTTGGTGCTACTGATGTTTCTTCAAGCTGACCTTTGTCTCCATCTGCCACGTCGTGCAGCAGTTCTGCGCTCCTCCAAGTGCATGCATGTGCTTGGTACTGCTGTCTGGTGCGCATGACCAGAGACAAACCTCTTGCGTAGCCTTGGGTTGTGAGAAATTCACTTGGATCATCATCACATGTGTTCTGCTTGTATTGGCCAGTGTGGCTGCAGCACCCCAAACACCCAAGCACTGGGTTTGTGAAACAATGGTGAGGGAATATTCATTTGAATTGACACAAGTATCTGTTTGGACTGAACTCCCATATTCTCTGTCTTCATTTTAACAGTATTTTGGCAACTTGAGGTAGCTAGAAGTTGCAAATTTTAGTTGACGTAAAACAAATAATGGTGAATGTGTCCAGAACTGATGCTCTTACCTGTTTTGAATTCCTAGTGTTTTACTAATGGTGCTTGTACTTAGTCTGGCTGGGGTGGCATTAATTCTCTTCCTAGCAGCCATTATTTAACGACAAATATAGAGCTGCCATGGTCTATATTTGTGGCTAAAACAGTGCTTAGAACACATTGATGTTTAGCTCTTGCTGGGCAGGCTTGCACATCATCACATCTTTGCTTCTTTCTCAGAAAGCAGACTCAGGGTGCACAATAGGCTAGCATGTCACACAGCCGGAGGGCTGAACCCAAATGACTGAAGGGATGTCTGTGCTATTCAGTGTTGTGCTCAGCAATAAAACTGTGGAAAGGACATGCTCCTAAGCAGCTGTTGCTCAGGGACTGTCTGGGCACCATCAGCCCATTTGTGGGACTTTGCATCACTTGGTTTTGATTTCCCCCCTCCTTCACTCAGTAAACGGTATTTGTCTCAACCCCTGAATTATTCTCACTTTTGCTCTTCCTATTATTGCCCCCACTCAGTTTTTTGGGGGGAGGGAGTGGGTGGCTGGGTGGATGCTGAGCTGTGTCGTGGTTTAAACCCAGTCAGGCAACTTGTTCACTCACTCCCAGTGAGTGGTGCCGGGCTGACAACAATCGAGCCCGCCCCCCCCTCCCCCCCCGGGGCTCTCCCCTTCCCTGCTCCTGGAGGAACGGGGAGGAGGATGAGGAGGATCAAAAGAGTGCAACTCCTACAGGTTGAGACAAGAACAGTCCAGCAACCAATGTACAACACAAATCACCTCCACTACCACCACCGACAACAATGATAAGAGAAAACAACAAGGGAAGAGAATACGATACCACTGGCCAAGAAACGAGTCCCACCCGGAACCCGTGCCCTTCCGGGTAACTCCCAGTTACCCCCCACCCCGGGCATGACGTGCTGTGGTATGGAATACTTCCCTGGCTAGCCTGGGGCAGGCGCCCTGTCTCTGCTTCTTCACGGCTTCCCCTCTTCCCTGGCAGAGCATGAGCCTCACAAAGTCCTTGGTCAGGGTAAACATCACTTAGCAACAACCGAAAACATCGGTATCACCAGCGCTGTTCCCAGGCTGGAAGCCAAAACACAGCACTGCACCAGCTACCACAAACGAGAAACATGACTGCTACTGCTGAACCCAGGACAGCTGTTATCCACATTAAACCCACCACAGCAACATACTCATGATGAACATTAACATCAGTTCTGACAATTGAAGTCCAGGGAGCTAGGGAGAATGGTGCAAAGCCATATTATTTCTGTGTACCCATACCATACATTTTAGTCTTAAACCTGAGAAACAGAACTCATGGAACTTTCCACAATTCAGCAAATAATTGTAGATAAATAAAATCACAGTCTAATCACAGACAATATGCAGAGAGAGGCAGAATTTAGTTGACCAGTAGTTTGCAACCACTATTTACTTGAGCCCCAGCAGGCTTCAGCTTTGGAAGAAGCCTGTAATCTCTGCTCTGGCATCACAAAGTGGGGATGCTTTCATGCAATAGCATTTCAGAATGGAGTGGGTGTTCTTGCGCTGAGTCTGCAGAATCATGGAATGGACTTGAGAACAAGTGCTCAAAAATCAGATTTCTGTAATGGTCAGGTTCATCCAGCAGTGCTTTTCCAGCCAGGCTGTATGTACCATTTGACTCGATGTGTTCCCTGCTCTGTCCCCAGATTTCTCTCCTGCCATTGGTCACCAACCATTCTCCATGCACCATGCCCACCCTGCAGCTCTCTGGAAAACAGGGCTTTTGGGAACACCTCTTCATGTTCTGTGCCCTGTGCAGGCAGAAGTGGCACTGCCCACCTCATCCCTCCAGGCAGGTGTTTGCTGTTGTCGTCTCCATCAAAACACTGGTGCCCTGAGCAACCTGGTGTCACCAAAGGGGGTGGGAACCCCCTGTGCTCCCTCTGAGCTCTGGGACACTCAACTTCTCATAGGCAACATCTGCTGGTGGT